CGTAGCCCTTGCAACACTGCACGCACAAGTCGATCTGGGTAGACCTGTGCCTGTTTAGCAACACCTCCAATGAGCCTCACATGCCTATGTAAACACGGAGTGGTCTCTCCACAAATTTGATTCAAAACTTCAGCAAGCTTCTTTGAATTTGTAAGCCAAACTGTAGGCTTTCGCACGTATCCTTCTTGTTCACGACCTTTCAAAACCATTTTCCAACAACACATTGTCGTGCGAACTCTATAAACCCCTGGCAGGCTTTCCAACTCTTTCACTTCTGGCATGTCCCAAGCTTTTGAAAGCTCAGGGTGTTCATGAAGGAAATACCGACCAGCGTCATACTGCTTCTTGTACATTTGGACTGATGTCTTCACTCTTTCTTTTCCAACACGAATCTCTTCTGCTACAACTGTAGGATCCCTTTTGTAGTCTGACAAACTGCGAAGCGATGAAAATGGCCCACAAGGAGGACTGCCTGTCACCAACCAAGGTTCTTCGTTCTCAATGATGGCCTCCAACTCGAGCCTGTCACGCTTCCGATCAAGATCCCACATGTCACTCCCATCTGGTTTCATCTCATTCAAATCAACTGCCACCCCTCTTTGCAAACCGTAGCAAGCTGCAAGTGAAGTGAACCGACTGGGAGAGAAAATCTCCATCACATCAACTGAACAAATTGATGCTGACAATGTTGCGATCTTTTGCACTTCCGAAAAATTGTAATCAACCCCTTCTTTCACAAACTGTTGTTCAATCATTTCTTCCAAAATTCGTTTCTGCACTGCTTTGTAGCTATGGTCAATGTCAAATTCCAAACTATTCAAATCAAAACTAGCGACTGCATCTGTGGGTGTCTCTGTAGGCAATGTGGTTGCTTCTTCTGCCATGGTCTGCTCAACTAATGTCTCAATGTCAACTTCTGCCGGCCTCTTTGGGGAATCCGGCCTGGTCAAGGCAGCAGGAGGCCTCGAGGGCCTCGAGGCCGATGATGAACTCTGTCCTTCAAGCACTTCGACATCCACCTCAGCCTTTCGTTTCGAAGGACTGGATGGCTCGTCAATTCTGGCCCTTTTGTCTTCTGCAATCTGTTTTTCATCTTGCTCTTCCTGAATTCTTTTGTAAATTCTGGCACGACACTCAGCACTGTGCTGTATCTGCTGAATCATCTTGCCCTTCTTGACACTGTAGCAGCCGTCACAACCAGGAGTAGCTCCGAACTTCTCAATGAAGGCACGCTTGACTGGTTTGGCCTTCGCTGTACTCCTTGGCGACACATGCTCCTGGTCTTCAGCTGCATCAACTTGCACTGCCGTCTCATGCAAGCTTACCGGCACTGGGGTTGCCGGCGTCATCAACGCAGGTGTCATCGGAGCAGGCGTCATTGGGCTCGACTCCAACTTCCTGTCATCTATTGCATGGATCTTCCACGGGGTCCCCATCAACTCACTCCAACCGTCAATGCTCCAACGTTCAGCTTCCGACAAACGATGAAACGAACTGCCGACCCGAACACCTTGTTTTGTGAGCACCAACACTGATCCAAACCGATTGTGCAATCCAACAAAATGTCCAGACTGCATCCTTGCTGCTGCATCGCTCCGTTTGCCACTGGATCCAGCCGCTTTGTACATGATGCGTTCACCAAACAAAGGAACTGGCTTCTTCCACTGTTTCCCCGTCCGACGTTCCTCCGGGGTTTGACCATCTGTACCAACCTTGTATCTGTTGATCATATCACTGCAATACCGGGGCAACCAAGACCAAACCACATGGTCTTCTGGGAGGCTCTGACCTAAACGCTTCTCAAGGCCACTCTTGTTGGCCCGCATGCGACGCTTCAAATCATTGATGCAACTCTCAACTTCACCATTTGCCTTGTGATCTCCTGGAGGAGACTCTTGGGGGATGATTGTGATATCCCCACAACCTGCAGCTGCTTCACGCTTCAACGCACGCATTGCTGGCTCACCATCACTCTTTGAGATGAACTTCTTGTATCCCAACAATTCATAAAATTTCCTCATCTGTTGCAAGCTAGCCTCATTCCGTGCCTTCTTGTTGTCAAGAGCTGTTGCAAACACCATCTTGGTCTTCCTGTCGATCATTGCAAGAAACGGTCTATTGTCATCCTCCTCCGGGGACATGTAAAAGAAATCATGGCTGACTACTGAAACTGTCTCTTCCTCATGGTCTTGCCTCATGTGGCGTTGTCCCAATCCCCAACCTTCAATGCACTGCGGGCACCAAGCCCTGTAAACCGCGTGACCACTTGCTTCATGCTCATCAATGTCTTTCTGGGTAGGCTGTCCTGGATCAAAGGCCGGAATGGCCCTACGAGCCTCAACTGGCTCCTCGACAGCCACCAACTCACCTTCCTCCAACGGAGCTAATGCAGGTTCTTGGAGCTCCGTTTCCTCCTCCTCTTGCAAGTCCGCCCATGACACTTTCTTCTTTGGCTTCTCAACTGATCCAAGTGAACGACTGTCTGACTCAACCTTCGACTGCGAGCCGCTCTCACCGACTCGCAAATACAAGTTGTACACGCCACGCTCCTCATACAAGGGGATCTCACCAACACCACCGAACCGACTGTAGGTTTTGCACAACTCTTTGTACAACTGACTTGAGTGATCAATCAATCTGCCACCGCCAGAGCCAAGCCACGTGTCAAAGCCCTTCTTGTGAACAGAACTCGCACTCAACAACACTTTATGGACATCAGTGACATGCCCAGTGACTCTTCTTTTGTGACCACTCTCATCAACACCTGTGATAGTTGCTTTGCCCAAATCATCCAACCTTTCCCCCGATGCGGTCTTGAAAGGCCGGTCACTCTGACCCGAGTCCACGCTCTCCGACTTGTAAACTTTGGGCAATGCTGTAATTGCTGCTCCTGTATCATAGTTCAAGCGAAGCCAACCATCACACAAGTCCGAACTCAAGTGACACAAATCTAGGCCACCAGCTTCTGCTTCCTTCTCCGGCTCCTGATTCAAGGCGTTCACACCTCGAGAGTTCCCTTTTGCATCTTTGCCTTTTCCACTTCCCTTGCTCCAACAATCTTTGGCCTTGTGGCCCTCTTTGCCACAGTTGTTGCACCGACCTTGGAAACGTGAGGCCTGTGATGAACTCCTCGAGGATGAAGTCTTGCCTTTGCCCTTGAACGAACTGTCCTTTCCTTTGCCCTTTCCTTTTGAGGACTTGCTCCAACAATCTTTTGCCAGATGGTTGGTTTTGCCACACAAGTAGCAAGCCCGCTTCCCATCTCCAGTGCCCTTCCCACCAGCCTTGCCTTTGTTACCCTTGGAACTCTTAATCAGAGCCCCGATGTCCTTGATGCCCCTCACGGCATCAATCAATGCTCCAACATCCATAGGAACTGCTTCGCTCGACGATTGACTGAAATTGTTGCTGATGGTCATCTTGGCACCAGTCTTCGCTTCCACAAACACACGAACTTCCTCCTCCATCTGGTCGTATGTCTTGAAGCGAGTGTAGTTCAACTGTAAATGTTGCTCCAGATCTTTCGGAACAAGCTTCTCCAAGGCATTCATTGCTAAACTCTCAGGAAGTTCTTCACGCTTCCCGAACTAATCCTTCTTCCGATTGTATCGGGCCCTCAAAGCCCGCCACCTTTCCAGTGCTCCAGCCAAGGTCTCATAGGTTGCTCGGTCCGGCGTAGTGAGAGCATTCAGCATCACGCGTTTCCTCCCACCTGTCGCCGGATCATATTTTCTATGCAGCAATCTCCAAGCCTCAAGCCCACTATTGCTCGACGTGTTGTCAACAACATCAAAAGGCGTCCCCTCAGTTGTCGACCTCAATGCACTGTACAACTTCGTGTTCATGTCATCAATGTCTTCAATGACATCATTTGGATCTGCATGCTCACCGTAGGTATTGGCCAACAATGCACTGCTTACCTCTACCTCTGATTCTGAAGCCCACTGCATAGCTTCCCTGAACTTTTCCCCAAAAACTCCTGCTACATAATCTTCAAGTTTGATACTCCACAGCCTGAAACGAAGCTCTGCTTGCTCATCGCCCAGCGTCTGCGGCTTTCCCAAGCCTTTGCTATCAAACAAGTTCTTTCTATCTCTGTGTCCCCCGATCGATTCGAGGGCTTTGGGGATCAACTTCAAGACCTCCATGCTCTCGGCCCTCTCTTGCCTCAAGGCCTCATTCACAGCAGCGACCTGTCGAACCTCTGTCTCCGCCTGTTGAAGCCTCTGAGTAAGCACAACGTTGGCATCCCTCATCTGTTGGCTCTCTGTCAAACTCCTCTGCAACTGTTCTTGCAATCGAGTTTGTCCCTGCTGCAGCGACTGAATTGCTTGCATCAATTGTTGGACATTCATCCCAGCTGCATCTTGTTGTTGGGCCATGTCGGAGTCAACAGCAACAAAAAGAACAACCCAACGCCCAGTCTCCCAAGCAATCGACCGACGAAATGCTCAACCAAGCGACAACCAATGTACAAGCTCAACAACCAATGCTGTTCCAACAAGCCCACAATGCACAAGCCAATGTCCAACACTGCCCTGATCAACTGATCAACACCGACAAAATGGGTCACAACTGCAAGACCCACAACAACTGAAGCAATGCTCCAACTCACCACCTGCGGCCCTTCTAAGTGGATCCTGTTGGACACGGCAGCCTTACCTTTAGACAATACCGTGCCCCGCCGCGCTACCATGCACGAGTGGGTTATTGAACCCTCCGCCCCGATCTCGCCTCGCCTTTTGGGCCTGCATGAGCTAGTGTATTGGACATCTTTACAAGTTCCACAGTTTTAAACCACGAGACGTTTCCTATATATGTTATTTGTGTTATCTTGTATATATTGTTTCTATTGTTTATATGTTAGGCTTAGGTTTGCATTTAACTAATAAGAATAATAGTTCGATAATTACTTATTTTGTTTATATATATAGAGAGATAAATTATATACATATAAATTGGAAAATATATATGTTATTGAAAAATAAGTTATTCTTACATTTTTTGTTGGAATATTCCAAAAGATTTCGTTTTGTTAGCGTATCCAATCATAGTCCTTCCTGGCTATTTACACAAAAGAAATGATCGTCTCAAAAGGACATTGGCTGCTTCGCGCTCAAAGAAGTATCAGGAATTACTTCCGAAGCCTGGTGCCAATCAAAACAGAAAGGCCCCGCGCCGAGTTTCAGCGGATTGGCTCCGGCGCAAACAACACATGTGGCGCGTCCTATTCGGTGCAAACAGGTGAAACAAAGGATCGGCCGAAACGGTCCGTGGTCAAACGGGGCGGAGTCGATCACACCTCGGTGAATTGGCCGAAGTCACCAAGGATTCTTCACGGCTTTCGAGAATGTGGACTGAAAATACTACCAGGAGCAAGGACGCTTAGGAGCATTCTTACTATATACTAGTAACTAACAAGAAGCTACTAGGAAAGGGCGATCAGTCTTTCTGCCCAACATTTGAGGTATCTTTTCTCTACTAGTAACAAGGGCATCGCTGCTAGTAACAAGGGCATCGCTGCTAGTAACAAGGGCATCACTACTAGCAGGTTCGGTTCACGAGGATGGAGATCCAAAAACAAGCTCGATCGGATGTCTTCGAGCGATTTCGCTGCTAATTGAGGGTACCTGTTACCTGCGACCAAGCGGCGGGGTCATCGTCAGTGGTTGAATCCGTGGCAGAGGATTCATTTCCACAGACAGTGCCACAACAACCTGGTCCTGAAGTCACAGTTTGGGGGTTCGAGCTCAACATGATGTCCATAAGTCAAGGCGAATCGAAATCCGGAAGACATAGGCTCAAAAATAGAGTTTGAGAATAGAGTGTTTTTCCCAGTCTGATGATATGTCCAGTGTTTGATTCCTTTTGTTCGATTCGAATTCACTCTGAGAAGGCCAAGCTGCTCCGGTTCTCAACCTGGCAGGACTCACTCAAGACTCAGGTGTCCCAATTAAATGGGAAAGCTGATGATCATTCGCGGTGCTCCAGGACAGGCCTTGTGGAGGACCGCGATTTGCTGGTCGTGCCTGCTTGCTAAACATCTGGTTGACATGGCAGCGGTTTTAGTCGTCATTGAGTCCCCTGCCAAATGGTTAACGAGATCGGATTTTGCAGCTTGTAGCTTTCCTTGGCAACCAGGTCGTACTACATCACGGCTGTCATGAGATAGCCGAGATAGCTATTAAACTTAATCGCTTTCCTATCTTTTGCAGGCCTAAATCGATACATTCCAGTTGACCAGAAAATTCGGTCTACACCACATCTTCAAATCATTCTCACCCCTTTGCGCGCACACAAACGAAACCAAAGGTCTCCGTCCACCTGGAAGAATGTGATGAGGTCACCTGAGATGACTGGCTGCTGGGCTGAAAGCGACACCAAACAAAGGGGCATCCTCAAACAAAAAGGAAATCTGTGTTTCAGTCCTTTCTCTGCAAGACCCCGAAAAATAATCTTTTTTGACATCTCAACAATCCTAAATCCACAAGGGTTCATTTTCTTACAGCCTTGTGAGAAGAAGGCCCACGCAAAGCACCCCACTGTAACCCCACCGCTTGGTGTAAGCCGTCGTGAGCCTCGGACGATAATTCCTCTGCTTGAACTCGAAGTGCAAAGGAGCTCCCTGGAACACCCGTCGGCCACCCTGGCGGCATCGTGGCGGTGGTGGACAGAGGAAACGCGCCATGGGTGGCCGCCCTCGGCCAGAGATTCTTTGTCTGCGCTGGTGCGAGGACTCTACCCAATGAAAGTGCTAGGATATGAATGATCTGGGAGGACTTCGGGAACAAAATCGAATTTCGATGAACGGTGAGAATTTTCTCTGCTGGCGCTGGGACGTGTTGACGTGTGAAAGGTCATGCCATTGACAGTCAGTCCGTCCGTCCGTCTGCAGTCCACGGCCGCACTCTGGCCGCATTGGTCTGGCCGCGCATCTGGGAGGGAAACTTCCACAGACCCCACATGTAACCTCCCCAACGGGTCAACAGTGGCGCATGCTGTCAAGCTTCAAGCACTGAGTTTGTTGGCATTGCAGCCTCAGGGCGTTTGGACGAACGACGAGATGGGCATGGTCTGGCGACAAAGCGTGTCTAAGACGCACACCCTAAGTAGCCTGCACAATCAATGCTTTCAGTGGACGATGTCAAGATGGTCCAAAATCACAGATGTACACGCATGTACAAATGGTATGCTTGCTCCATAAACCCGAAAATTTGATGAAAAAGACCGACAACGTTTGATTCACGGCCTTGAGAGTGTAATCACTTCCAGCGCCCGGTCCCCGGGGTCTTGCTCCGATTCGAGCAAGTCCTCCATGGGTTCGGACGTGCCTCAGGGTACGCTTAGCCACGTGGTTCGGATGTTTGGCAAACACGAGGAACTTCGTCCAAGTCGCCACAGCGCCAAGAGTTTCTCCACAAGTTTCGTGCCACCCCACCACCATACGAGTTGATGTTAAGGCATAGAAGCCTCAAATGCTGAGAGATGGCCTGAAATTGCGTTCAAACGCTGCAACCAACTTCACCGCATTGTTTTATCAAGTAAATCACAACTGCCTGGGTGTGAATTTAGGTGATTTACTCTGATGTTAAGTAGAACTCGTCTCTGTTCCACTGAACTCCAAAGGATCTTTACAAAACTTCTGCAATCAGCTGCAAGAGAGGAGCATTTCCTTGGCCGATAGCATGGCGAAAAAAAGGGTTCAACGTGTCCGAAGCGTTTCAGGTGTGTCTGCGCTTGTGCATTAGACGCTTTAGATCATTAGACTCTGAGACTGGCACCGGATTGCTGTACAGCCTGGCAAAAGGCCGAAGAATCTCTCATTCACTCACCCCACCGGTCGAGGGTGCTTACCATCATAGCTCACAACATCTGACATGGCATGGTCATCCTTCAGTCCTCTGACCATTAAAAACAACCAAGTAAGAAAAACAAAACAAAAAGTTTAAGTAAAAAACTGATTATACAATTGCTTCCAACTATATATTTGCAAAAATTCCACTCCGCTGCGCACCTGGGACCTCGGCTTCGGCAGCCAACCTCAAAGATGGGCGAGCTCTCCTTGTCGGTCCCATGGTAAAGACCTCCGTGGGAATGACGAATGCAGACCGTCAGACCGGAATTTTCCCTGACCAGTTTGTGTGCAGACCCTCCACCAGCAAGAAACACCAAGAAAGATGGAAGAGGAATATGGAGGAAGGTTGACAGTTCTCCAAGCTGAAATATGCACAATGTTTTTGAGAACCCACGAGTGCGGCTTCGACAGAATGAAGACATGTCCACCATCTGGATGAATCTGTTCACCTGCCTGTTCACCTGCAAAACACCTTGCACGTTGAATTTAATACATGACCTGGCAAACCTGGGGTCACCAGTCAGTTTGATTGGTCAAGGCCCACCTTGTGCAAGCGTGAAAACTCAAGGTGCGAAACACCAAGCTTTGAAGCTAGCCAGTGACTTCTAGGGTCACCAAATCCACAGTTTTTTCTATGTGACTGCCTACACCAGGTTCTTCCAAACGGTGCCCGAACCCCTGGACTCGCCCCGCTGAAGCGATGCGCCTCTGAGCACCCGCTGCACTCGCTGGCCCACGCAGCAAAAAAAGTGCAATGAAATCATGATGCCTGACGTGCCGAAAGAACACAAAGAGAGAAATCGCTAGTAGGTTGGAGAAAGTCATTAGTAGGTTGGAGGAAATCGCTAGTAGGTTGGAGAAAGTCGCTAGTAGGTTGGAGGAAGTCGCTAGTAGGTTGGAGGAAGTCGCTAGTAGGTTGGAGGAAATCGCTCGTAGGTTGGAGGAAATCGCTAGTAGGTTGGAGGAAATCTTTAGTAGGTTGGAGGCCATCTAGTAGGTATATGATGCCTCACAAGAGTCGAGAATTTGTCGAGATATGTGCTTTCAGACCATTCCCCCAGCTAGACTCTAGCTTAATAGATGTTTAGACTCTTTTCTCCACAGCAGGTTGACCCGCGTAACCTTTGGTACCAGCACAAGCAGTTCTTGCGATGGTTCAGGCGCAAACGAAAAGGGTGTCGGTGTGTCCAAAGCGTTTCTGGGCAATCCAATACGAAGCAAACGACTTTGTCTGTTTAGATGAGGTTGTCGTTTGCGCTACAGCTCGAAAACATGAAAGCGGACGACATGTTCTGTTTGTGAGGAAAACCAGTCTTGCCAGGGCAATCTTTCTCCGTGTGAGGTGTCCTCAGGAGTGTAGCAAAGATTTGTGAACGCACATCTCAACAGCAATGGCCTTGCCATGCATACACCAGCTTGTTCAAACATTGGCTTTTGGTGCGATGAAGCTCGACCTGGTCAAAGAAAGGATGCAGAGCCACTAGGAAGGAGGAAGGCACATGCCAGGGACCTGATATGCAAGCTCGGCATCTTTCGCAATTCCACCTCAGCAAGAAAAGCCTCTTCGAGCTGCTCACTTCTAAGCTGTGCATCCGGAATTTGGCATCCATGAGGCCATCACAATAAAGGAGCATGTGGGTCTCTAAGCTTGTCCTCTCTGACCCATCATCATTCATCATGACGGCGTCCTTGTTGTAAATAAAGCCGTCTTCTTCGTGGACCTGGCCGCGAACCGGAAAACATGGCCCAGGCCCAGAAAACTCTGACTTCGGCAGCCACAAGTGGCAGCCTTCAGGCGCACTTTCCAAACGTCCTGGATTTCTGGCTCGGCCCGCACCCATTCTTGCCTCGGATTCAAAGAAAGAATCTGCAGCAGGGCCAAGATGGCGCCATACTGGGGATGGGCCAAGATACACCATCTCATCTAGCATTTCGCAATTATTTCTCAGCAATGCATCTGCATCAGGATTCCTGCCGCACACCAACAGCACAAACCAAGGCCAAATTCTAAACAAGGAGACAATCCAGCCCGTCCTGCCACCCCAACCCAGAGCCTGTGCAAAATCGTTACCTGCAGGAGTGGCTGGGTCACCGTCTCAAATGCTTGGGGGTGTCTGCGGAAAGCACAAACATGCCAAGTTTGTCAGTCTAGCTAGACTCTAAGCAAACAGCCTATATAGTCCAAAAAGAGGGCCAGCTCAAAGCCTCTCCAACTGCCAACCAAATGTCCAGCCTGTTCCCAGTGGCACCATGCCTATTTTCAGGCTGGTCTCAGTCTGAATGCCATGCAGCTGGGCTTCACCCACAACCCACATCACAGTGCCATCACCTGCACGTTTCAGGCGCTAGTCAGTTGCACGGTGGCTGGATGCAACGGAGCAAGAACATCTCATCAGGGGTTCACGGGGTTCACCAGTCCCTCAGGGAGTGGCGATCTTGTCCAACTCCCACTGGCCTCCACCTATAAACACGCGGACGGAGTGATAGCTTTTCACAACCTCCCGCAAGAAGTGGAAGCCAGGCTTATCTCCTTGGTAGCCCAACTCTCCTCCACTTACGATGGTCAAGATGGGCAACGCAAAAATGATGAAAATATAACTTGCAACCTGAATTTGATAGAGTGCGGACATTGTCTGAAGCATGCTGAATGTGGCAGTGGACAATTTTCAGAATGGTCCTTGTTCTATCTGTTCACCGTGAAGAATGGACGGTGCAAGGCTTTGGAAGTCTCAAAGGTACGCATCTTCCAGCATTGCTGCCAAGGTACCTGGCCGTCCCTCGTACAAGCCTTAGGCACATGAGGCACTTGAGGCATCGTTCACGTGAGTAAGAATGGCAGTTCGAGGGAGGCCCCGTCTAGAGTCAAGCTTGGCCTTGGACAGGCCGTCTCTGTTTGATGATGACCCTTTCCGACCTCTTCCGACCAGGTTTCCGGAGCCGAACTTCGGATTGGCCCAACAGGAACCCAAAGGGCTTTGGCCCAAACGGACAAACAGTATACATGCGAAAAAAGAAAAAAAAAGTAAAACGTTCACCTTGAGAGTGCAAAGTCGCTGAAAACCCACAGTCTGGCTCTGGAATGTGAGTTCCGGAGCTGCGCGTCGAACGGCCGTGGCACCTTCAGAAAGGCCTTGGGCATTGGGAAGATGCTGTTCAGAGTTTGATGATGTCTATGCAATTAAATGGAAGAGGCTACCTACCTATAGGGTAAAAATAGCCAAAAAGCACGTCGGTGTCGGGACCGTGCATGCAAAACCAAAAGCTCATGGCCCTGATTGGCTGCTGCGAAGCCACCTCTCCAATGCCACCTCCAGAATTGGGGTTGACGAAGAGAAACCTTGTTCAGAACGGGAGGACGTGCATGACTCAGCCATGAGTTGTGCACCAATTTGGTCTGGCAGTTGTTGTGTGTGTTTTCTTCCTTTGCGGAGGACTGTCTCATCTCAAAACATGGTCTATCTGAGTCTGTCTGACACGTGTCTCGGAAGTTGAAGAAGCTGCTAGGTGCTCGTCATGCTCATGGTGTCTTGCAGCGTTTCGGCCCAACATCTTCTATACTGCATAGATCACCCCATCCATCTCTCAGCTGCGCTACAATGGCACGAGAGACTCATCATAGGGGACTGTACCTGCCAGGTCATTGCGTCAGAAAAGATGCAGATCGTATCATCTCCCATTCTGGGCTGCTCCCATTCTGGAGAACTGTCTAGGTCCAACGAGTTCGAGGCTCTTTCTTCACATCAGTGGGGGTCATCCCCAAGAGCTGCCGGCACATCAGTCACAGCTGTTGACCTAAAACTCATCTAAACTCAATCACCGGCGGATAGACATCTGTGGGCCTCGCAGGCCCGACATCTGCTCGCAGCCCCCGAGAGGTCTCATGAAACGCGAACCCCATTTCGAGCCATCTCGCTTGTATTGGCACCGTCAACAGAGAGCAGGCACAAGCAACAAACAATACACCTTCATTGCCCCCCCAAACAGCATTTGGAATAAAAAAGGGTCTCTGACACCTGCGAACCGGATCTCAAATGCAAAGTAACTAGGCTAGCGAAGCATTGCCATGTGCTGGGATCACGGGGAACGCTCCAGAGTCACACAGTTCAGGGTTAGGAGTATTGATCTGAACCTGTTTCTGTTTTTTCAGGGGCCAAAAGCTATACATAGCTTCCTATAGCTTTCCCAATAAGCATACAAGCATGCAACAAAAGAATTCAGCCAAAAAACGAGTACATTCCCAGGACAAAGTTGCCTCTTTTCCCTGGTAGCTCTGCGCTGCATTTGAGCCCTCGCCCAAATGCTTAAGTTTGCTAAAAGGCGATGGACCGACGGCTGAGGCTGTCTTAGACAGTCCGGAGTGAGCAAAACACTTCAAAGCCACGGACGTTCAGATGGGAACCGTCAGCTCTTGGTTCAAACTGACATTAGCAAGCACGCCGTGCTAAGGAACTAGCCTGCTACTGCATCTCAAACTCTTGGAGCTTCCATAGGCCTTGTCTCATTTTGGAAATCGTTTGGCCGGCAGTGAGTGCTACGGTGCCCAAAATGCCTTTCGTAACAATAGCTTGTGCACTCCTTACACTCTGTAGCAGGACCACTAGCTTTCGCCGCCAAAGAAAGGCACTGAGTCACTGGCGCAAGGCCTGGGCCCATTGGGGCACCATAAATATTTGCCCCTCCCTCCTGGAACAATCGGCTCCACTACCCGGTTGAACGCCTTCGATGCAAGACCCATGAAGGTTTTCTCACGTGTCCCGTTCCCACGTGCACCGGTCGGATCGTTGATCCGACCCTCCTGGGCCATCGGATACTCATAGGCATTATTGCCTTGGGATCATGTGCCCAATGCAAGGCTCAAGACGAAGCTCCATGGAAAGCAACAAGTCAGCAACTTGGGCGCCGACCATAAGCACCATACTGGCCAGGATGCCTAGAAATCCAATTTGAAGCACCGAAGATCAACAAAGAATGGAGGGTGCGATGTCCTGTTCTTCCTTTGTCCAAGCAAGAATTCATGATGCGGCCAAAGTGACATCCCCTGCACCTGAACAGGTAGCTGTTGCTGCTGCATCATGCACTGTTGCTGCTCTCTATCCTGTTGGACAAGCGCAGGTCGGGACAGTTCCATCGTGTTATAACATGTTATAACATTGTGTTGGGAGTGATGAGGAACGTTTTCACAATTAGCATTGTCTGCAAGCAGCACAATACTGGCAACTGAAAGAACGAGCTGGCCCGATTCCAGAAGTTCATCATTCTCAGCTTGTCCTTTCCTTAGCTGTAAAATCACTTTCCAGCACAAAGAAACAACCTTCAAAATTCAGTTCCCAATGATTCCCTAGCGTCCCTGTTGCTTCCCCGAAAACTAGAAAACCACCAAACATTGTATGATGTCAAATTCCATGTTGATTCCCAGCGGCGTTGTTGCAAATCCTCCTCCTCAGGGTCGAAGGCGCGGACCAATGGCATCACCAGCCATCCAAAGACTCGCGCGGAAATGAGCATAGTTAAGCTGCCATAAAGGTGGAGGAACCAACCTGCAGTCTTGTGGCAGGACGCACGCACAGTTGATGCAAAAAACCAGCGACATGAGAGTCAGTGTGATGCACCCAGGTTCTTCTTGCAAGCCGAGCACCGATGGCCAAGTCGGGATAGGGATACCAAGCTGATTCGCCCAAATTGGTAAACGCATTCCATGTTACCAAAGCCTCAGGCGAAAATCATTCAGGAGCCCAGGGTCTCTTTTGCAGCGAATCTTGTGCACTGTGTTCCCATGTGCGGCTTGGGGCGCCCAGGTCACATTGAGGACCAACATGGCAAAGCCGCAGAACAGCAGCAAACCATAAGTGATGCCACCTGCTCTTCTAAGGGGTCGGAAGCAGCCCACCAGCATGCCAATGAGGGAGAGCAAACACCTCGACACTAAGAGAATGGGTACCCGCTATGGCGGTGTCAGCTAAGATCTACTGGTTTTTGGGGGTGAAGAAATCCAGGTCATCAAATCATGCAACTGACATCTGAGCGACCCAAAGAAGGTCACGAAAAGCACGGCAAAGTTCACCTGGTCGAGAGTTGATCAACACTCTTCTGACGGGACCCAAACAGTGCAAGTGTCCCATTTGCATCCGTTTGCATCCAACTATCAAGTCTTTAAGGTTCTTGAAGCACTGCATCTGCTGCATCTGCATCCCCTTCACAATCGAATTCAGTACCAAAGCCAGGTGCCCCTGCCACATAGATCTTGCTGTATTCTTTGCATCTCATGTAGAGATGCTCGGCCAGCCCTTCTCCACACGCCTCTTCCCTTGCTGTGCGGACTCTTCAACACACGAGCCCTCTCAAATCACATCCAGAAACGTTTCTGACACCTATGTTTGATGTATGTATGTATGTATGTATGTATGTATGTATGTATGTATGTATGTATTTTTTCCTAGAGGTGTGTGCACGGTGCCATTTGGCAGGTCACCTAGGTCTATTGCCTCAGCGTGGGCATTGCCAGTGGAGCAGCTCGCTCAGAAGAAGTCTACGGACATGTTGCCCCCATCATCGTCTTCTGCCTTGTCTCCATCAGGAGAAGCGACCTGTGAGAAACGCAGCTTCTTTGGTGCCGGTGGCGAGGGCCCTGCATGGTGGGCTGCGCTGGTCGGTGGTGTCGAAGGCTCTGGCTGGGTTTCATGGCCGGTGAGGTTGCCTTCTTGCAGGCCTTCTGGTGGTGTGCCTTGACTGGCTGATGCCTGTGTGCTGAAGAGCTGGAGCAATGTCGGGGACCTTTGTGTGTTCCCTTGACACTCCCTGGTGAGCGCTTTCGTCATGATCACGCGATCATCAGCGTCCAGGTGGCTGTGTGTGCCACAATTTAGGCATTTGATGCCCTTGCCCTTTTGCCAGAGAGCATGGCTGGAATGCCCGCTGTGGCCTTTGTCGTAGCGTTCATCGATGCATTTGCCCTGGATGAAGGCTTGGAAGCTTTCCTCATTTGTTCGTTTGTGAACGGAGAGGCTGCATTTGGTGCACTTGAGATACCCCGTGGTCTCTTGAAGGGTGTGTTCATCAGCCGCCTGTGGATGTTGCTGCTGCAGTTCTAGCAACCTTTTGATGGTTGTGGCTCTGGTGATCTTTTGGCCCACGGGCTTGTCCGGCCTGAGATCTGGTTCTGGAGCCTCATGGGTCAGGAGTTCGCAATCCTGTTGGAGGTGATTCTCAATGACCTCAACGGTGAGGGCCTGATGAACCCTGGTGTGGCATGTCTGGCATTGGTAGCCGCTCCGGTGGGGAACCCATTGGTGCTTGTTGGGCTGCCATGGTGCCTTGCATTGGTTGATGAGTCGTTTTTTGTATTGCTTGGTGGTGTGTCCAGCTCGCTTCACTGGCTTGTCGTGAATGTAGTGCTGGGGATCTTTGAAGATCTTGTCAAGTCTGGCTGCCGCTTGTTTGTAGATCCTCACATGGTCCAGGTCAAGGGTTCTTTGCCAGTCTTCAGCTGGTCGGTCGTAGAGCGTGGTAGCTCTCTCATATGCAGCGAGTGCTGCATCTCGCTGTCGCCGGCGGAGATGTGGTTCGTTGGCTGGTGTGTCTGGCGACCTGTGGTTCTTGTGGATGTACAAGGGCGTGATTCGCTGGAAGAATTGGTCGTCAAAGCCTTGGGCCAAGTCTTCGAAACCTTTTCTCTTCCTTGGGTTCGTCCAAGCTTCCCACACCACTCCTAGTTGTACTACCACATTGGTTGGAGTGAGGACGAATTGGGCCAGGGTGATGAGTCCTTTAAACAAGGCTCTGGCCTTGGTTTGGGATCCGGGGGCCATACCCGTGATGGTGCCTTTGCGGATGAGGGCGCCCATGGAAAAGGTGTGGATGCATAGTCCAAACACCCAGGCCTGGGAGCGTTGGTCGTAGGATGAAGGGGGTGGCATCGAGCGTCACAGCTAAGCCTTGCCAGGGCTGCAGCGTCAGAGGCTCAAGGGTGCTCCAACATCCGTGGCCTTGCAAGGGTTGTGGCACCTGCAAATGGTCCTGGGGCTCCTTGGGGATCCATCCATGTGCCCATAGGGGGTCTTCCAGGGGATCCTGGAGTCTCTCCGTCCATTCGATGGCCAATGGTTCATGGCCTTGGTTGTGGTGCCAAGTGCAAAGCCAAACAATGTGCTTTGGGGTGGCTGGGACTCCGCAGAGTGGGCACGACTTGATTTTGTCACCCTCCCGGTAGTGCAGGGCTGCTTGGTTCCAGGTCTTCATGTGCTGGAGTTGCTGCTTGTTCAGCACTTTCGCTGTTTTCTTTGCTGCCGTCCAATCAAGTCCACTGACCAGGTTTTGGCAGTTCTTCCGGCTAGCAATGCGGCTGGTGCGTTGTTGCTGTGCTTCCTGGTGCAAGGTCTGTTCTATAGTGGCCCAATCGTCTCTCAGGTTGATGTGGGCTTCTGTCAAGAAGGCCGTTTCGTGTCGGCGCCACTGATAGAGCGTGTCTGTTGTCCAGCCCCACTCATGGAGGTAGGCCAAAGTGGCTGCCATGGGTCCTTTGACGCTGTACCATTGGTGTGTTTTGCTGCGGAGCTGGTTGCGGATGGTGATCCAGGCTTGCTCGACATGTTGGATGTGATCCACTGGCCAGTGGGTGATGAGGGTGTGCAGGGCTCTTATGTGATGGATGATCACTTGGTCCCCCGGATCTCCAAATTTCTGCTGGGCTTGGTCATAGATGATGTCCTGCAATCCCCCTTGGTGTAGACCGAGGTGTTTGGCCAGCCCTTGGCGCAGGGCTAAACGGTATCGGGGGGCCAAACCCTGTCCCTCGAACCCCCAGAATGCCACCGGTTGGATCCCTCCCCGGTGCAGCCTCAGCCGTGTGCGCAAGTTGGGCAATTTGAGGGTGCGGAGTTTGATCCGCCGTTGTTTGTGTTTGTGGAATCTGTGCTGCAATGTGGTGATGCGCCGTCTGCGACTGGCAGCGTGGTCGATGCCTAAATCTCTCATCACGGTTTGGATTGGTGGGTCTCGCGGTCCGAGTAGTTTGCTGAGCTCGCTGTGGATGCGTTTGTCGGTGACGATAAAGGCTGTTTTGTGGGTGTTGACTACCAAACCGGCCTCAGTCAGGTTGTCTCGGAGGTGATGCCAAGCCTGCAGTGTTCGTTGTGCAAGGTGCTGGGCATTGGTGTGGCTGCCGTCAAACCCAATGTCATCGACCCAGCCATTCAGGTGAAGATCTGGGTAGGCCTGTTGAAAGGAGTGCAGGATGGGCTGGAGGTATGTCTTGGCCAGTAGTGGTGCTTGTGGGCATCCAGCTGCAACTCCTGTGGTGACATGGAACCAGGGGCTGATTTCCCCTTCCGCCAAAATGGCCTTGTGTCCTGTATAGACCTGCATGGCGAACTCCAAAGCGAGTGGTGGGTATTGGAGGTCTTGTGCTGCTTGTTGAAGCCTTTGCAGATCCAAGGTGTCGTAAAAGGTGCTCATGTCCAGCAGTACGGTGACGCCATGCTTGTTGAGGGACTTGGCAGTTTCTTGGCGCGCCAGTCGCTCCAAAGCGACGTGAAGTGCTGTGGCCCCTGGTCTGGCCCGGTCATAGTCCGGGGTTTCCTCATTCTGCACCACACCCGGTACAGCACACTGGTTAGTGTGATGGGACGCTCTACCTTTTCATTTTTGGCCAGCATCACCACAAGGCTCATGGTCAGTTGTGTGGGAAGTTCCGCTTTGGCTTCCATGGTTTGCAGGAGGCTCAACAGCGGTTGTAGGGCCTGCTTTGGTGCTGTTCGGAGCAGCTGGGTGGTGATGGCGTCAGGCCCACAGGCTTTGTCTGGAAGGTGCTTCAGGGTCTTGCTGAGCTGCTCAAAGGCGAGTGGGGGCAGGGTGGCTGCTTGCTGTTTGGCCTGTTCTTGCAGGGGCAGCCGGGTCATGGTCTGGTTGTCCTTGGTGGGCTTCCAGAGTTGGCGCCAGTCGTTCATCCGGTGTCGCATGCGGTCGGCCATAGGGATGGTTCTGTAGGGTCTCTGCCATGAGAGCTCGCTGGCCTTGAGGGATCTGAAGAGGCCTTTAAGGCCTTTGGTTTCGCCCTGCCGGATCCATTCCGCATATTGGAGGCAGCTTTCTTCTCTGCTCTGGTGTTGTGCTGCTTCAAGTTGATGCTGCACTGTTTGTTGCAGAAGGTCGAAAGTGCGGTCATCCTTGTACTGGACCCAATGATGGTATGTATCGAGAAAAAGCCCCCATGTCTGATCACCCAGCCATTGGTGTTGGAGGTTTTGGAGTGCTTTGGTGAGCCCGTGGATGGCGCCTGGAGCCTTTGCTGGCTGGTGTTGGATCAGGGTGAGTCGGGCTTGTATTTGTTCCCAAAAAGCAGCCTTCCCTCGTTTCCGATGCCTCCTGCTTTCGCGGGCACCAAGGGGAGATGCTGGATGGTCAGGTTGGCCGCCCGTCCCTGTGGTGCCCGGGGTGCTGCTGCAGTAGGTATTGCTCTGTGATTGAGACCCAGTCCGCCAGCCCTTGTGCGCCACTGTTGGGTTTACTCTCATAGAGCTGAAGCTGGTCTGCCTGCGAGACATAAGTGTTCCAAGCCCTGAACCCAATGTCGGGTACATTTGGCAACGGTGGAAAGGCCCGGAGCTGGTGGTACAGTCGGAAGTCATCTTCAAGCTCGAAGGCATAGGTGAGGAGGCAGTGTGGTCGCCAGGGGACTGCCCACTCAGTGGTCATGGAGGTGCAGGCTGCCAGTGTTTGCTGGATGATGGCGTAGTCAACCGCGTTGCCATTGAGCAGGGTTGCGTCAGGAGCCAGGATCTGCCAATGGAACTTGGAGCCAAGGACGGTTCCTTGGATCTGTTCTGGGTGGTTATTCCAGTCCCCAACCAGGACAAACTGCCTTGTTGTGGCTTCTAAGAGTGCCAGGATCCGTGCAAGGATTTGGGCATTGGTGGTGCCTTGGATCGTTTCATTGGTCTTGAAATAGACAGCGACGACCAAAATGGTTCTTGCCTTGGCCTCCCACAGAAAAGCTTGGTAGCCACAGCCCTCAATCTCAAAGGCTTCAAGCTGGGTGAGCCCATGCGCTGTGTCATAGATGACTAGGATTCCCCCATGGTTGCCATCGTTGGTGGCATTGCTGTGGGCAGGGTATCCAAAGGCATGTCTGCCGCGGACTTCAAAGTATTGGCACATGGAGTGGTGCTTTTGTCGATCAAGATGTGTTTCAATCAGGATGTAGATCTCGTTGTCGCGTGTCCAGTACCAATCCAAGGTACCTTTGCCAAAAGCTGTGATGTTCGCCACATGTAGGCGCATGTTGTCCTGGGTGTGGCGTGCCTTCTTGGGT